CGGGAAGCCTGCTTCTCCTTCTCCCTCTCCCCCCGCTTGTGTTCCCTCTCTCTCTGTGTCTTTCTCTGTCAAATAAATAAATAAAATCTTTAAAAATAAATAAATAAATAAATAGAAAATAAATAAATCAAAAGGTCAATTAAGCTATTTCTATTTTGAAAATAACATGAGAGAAATTAATACAGGTAACACAATAATTCAATGTCAAATATTTAACTTCTGCAACATGAACACTGTCTATGCTTCTCAGTTTTACACAATAAAGAAATACATAGAGGGCACCTGGGTGGCTCAGTCAGGTAAGCATCTGCCTTCAGCCCAGGTCATGATCCCAGGGTCCTGGGATCGAGCCCCACATCAGGCTCCCTGCTCAGTGGGGAGTCTGCTTCTCCCTCTCGCTCTGCCCCTCCTCCTGGCTGTGCTCTTTCTCTCATTCTCTCTCTCAAATAAATAAATATTTTTTTAAAAATACATAGAATTTTTCTTAGACAGTAAATATTTAGGTGTGTCTCTCTCTATCAAATAAATAAATAAAATCTTAAAAAAAAGAGGGAAATTAACCAAACTATATTTTATATTCTGAAGTTAACAGTCTTTAGACACTATTTTCCCTGTTTCAAATAATAAATGAACTAAAAAAATAAATAGGTAAAAAATAAATAAAATAAATGAACTAAACATTAAAATGCGTATTATTTATGTCATAGTTACTGGGACAACTAAATGAGACTAACTCTACAAAGTTCACTGTTTTTTGCAAAACATGAGTCATTATTAGCTACATTAAATTTATGTGGTGCTCTCCAGAGAAACCATCTAAGACAAGTTAGAAACAGCTGGTTTACAGTTCATGAAACCACCTTAGCAACAATAGCAAGTTATTTAGTCATATACAACCTGCAAACAAGCTAATATGTTTTCCAGGAGATTTCCAAGATTAAAACGTTGAATGATTTATGTCTTTGTTTGTTTTTTAGCAGGCTCCACACCCAGCCTGGAGCCCAAGGTGGGGCCTGAACTCTCCACCATGAGATCAAGACCTGAGCTGAGATCAAGAGCTGGAAGCCTGGGATATCTGGGTGGCTCAGTCGTTAAGCGTCTGCCTTTGGCTCAGGTCATGATCCCAGGGTCCTGGGATCAAATCCTGCCTGGGGCTCGCTCAGCGGGGAGCCTGCTTCTCCCTCTGCCTGCTGTTCCCCCTGCTTGTCCTGTCTGTCTCTCTGACAAATAAATAAAATCTTAGAAAGGAAAAAAAAAAATGAGTTGGAAGCTTAACCACCTGAGCCACCCAAGTGTCCCTGATTTATGTCTTTAGATCATAAAATTTCAGGGGTGCCTGGGTGGCTCAGTTGGTTAAGCGTGTGCCTTCAGCTCAGGTCATGATCCCAGGTCCTGGGATTGAGCCCCACCTCGAGCAGGGAGCCTGCTTCTCCCTCTCTCTCTACCCTGACGCCCACCCCGCCCCAGCTCATGCTCTCTCGCTCTCTCAAATAAATAAATACTATATAAATCATGAAATTCCAAAATCCCAAGACCAGTCATTATAATTAACATACCTAGGTAGGAGAAAAGATTTATGTTAATTACTTAAGTCACTATAAATAATATAAGTTTCAGATAATTTTGAAGGACAACAAAAGATTGTTATGTTTACCAAAGAGAAGAAAAGATTAATAAAAACTTGAATTTTACATAATGGTAAGACATGGTTCTATATTTCATTTTAGATAATAATCATTAAAATCAGATTAAGAGTCAAAAATAAAAGAATGGATTTAGACTGATGTTTTCTAAGAGTATCCTTTGTTAGATATTACATGAAAACAATAGCTCCATGGTAAATTGTTTAGGAAACAATGAGTTTAAACATACCTAAACCAAATCCATATTACTCTGATTTCTCAGAAACTTTAATACGATACCACGCATCATTAAATCTCCAAATATACTTGGTTTCTGCAACTTTTATCAGCAAGGAATTCTTTTTTTGGGAGTATCTGTTTAGTAGTTTGGCAACATAAACTTGGCAACCCTGGCTTAAAAATTCAGCTGCTGTATTTCTTTGCTAGAGAAAACTTTCTGCTGTAGACATGTATACATTTATAAACAATTTGAGTACTCTGGATACATCCCAAATTGAAAAGTACTATATGAAACTTAAACAAAAATTACCCAAATTGAACCAAAATATATAAGGCAGACCTATATTTTTCAGTATACTAAATATTCAGACAATTTTCTTGTTAAGACTTAGACCTACCTGACTACGGTGTTCAATAGAATTTAGTTCTTTGCCAGTTTTAAGTTCCAATGGCATTATCTTATACCTCGTTTTACATCCTCGATGTATTTTCACACCAACTGTGACATCTATTTTGCCTTTCAATCCAAACCTAGGGGACCAAATGCTTTCTTCAATGTCCAGTGAGTTTATGACTTCAATATTACATGTTGAATTATTGTTATTACCATCACTTGGCCTAAAAAATTAAACACAAAAATTCTTAATTAGAACACTAAGCACAGGGTGCCTGGGTGGCTCAGTTGGTTGAGCGACTGCCTTCGGCTCAGGTCATGATCCTGGAGTCCCAGGATCAAGTCCCACGTTGGGCTCCCTGCTCGGCAGGGGGTCTGCTTCTCCCTCTGCCCTTCACCCTGCTTGTGTTCTCTCTCACTCACTTTCTCTCCTTCTCAAATAAATAAATAAAATATTAAAAAAAAAGAACACTTAGCACATTTCTCTTTATGCTGGCATTGACTCTACTATACACAGAGAATGCGGGGATGGGAAACCAACAACATACGTTTACAGCAGTGATTCTCAAAGTGGGGTGCCTAGAGGAGCAGCACCAACGTCACCTGGGAACTTGTAATAAAAGCAAATTCTCAGGCCCCACTCCAGACCTACTCAATCAGAAACTCTGCAGGTGAAGCCCAGCAATTTGTCTTACAAACTGTGCAAGTAGGGGTGCCTGGGTGGCTCAGTCATTAAACATCTGCCTTTAGCTCAGGTCATGATTCCAGCATCCTAGGATCGAGCCCCGCATCGGGCTCCCTGCTCGTTGGGGAGCCTGCTTCTCCTTCCTCCTCTGCCTGCCACTCTGCCTACTTGAACTCTCTCTCTGTTAAATAAATAAATAAAATCTCTAAAAATTAATTAATTAAAATAAAACCCGAGATTTAATGTTTAAAAATTCTGTCAGAATACATGATTTAGGGGCGCCTGGGTGGCTCAGTCGTTAAGCGTCTGCCTTCGGCTCTGGTCATGATCCCAGGGTCCTGGGATTGAGCCCCACATCGGGCTCCCTGCTCAGTGGGAAGCCTGCTTCTCCCTCTCCCATTCCCCCTGCTTCTCCCTTTCCCACTCCCCCTGCTTATGTTCCCTCTCTCACTGTGTCTTGCTCTGTCAAATAAATAAATAAAAAATCTTAAAAAAAAAGAATACATGATTTAATTGACTTTGGTTGCTAATTTCATGTTATTTAGATCAGCAGCTATTTCTTAACAAATGAGAATATTTTCTAAGAGAAAAAAATGACATCTTCAGTAATTCTTTTTTAACCATTTCGGGATGCTTCAAATATAATCTCCAGGAATATATGTATACTCCTGCAACCTCTGAGGAAGACAACAGAGGAATTCAGGGAAACTACAACTTATCCGAAATTTCTTAAAATATTATTCTGTTCTCTTTCTCCAAATGTTACCTAATTGTGTTATATATTTAAATATGCTCCTATGAAATAAAGCAAACTTTATTATTCATAAAATGTCACATGTATACTTAATAGAAGATAGGTAATGAAACTTTTAACACTGCTATTAACATTCATTCCCCTAGAAAATGAAGTAACGTGATTTCAGATCTAGATCTGTGGAATAAATGACAGTATTTCATAACTACTATGATTTTAATCAACATAATGCTGTAAAACTCCTTCGAGAACCACCTGATTAAGAATATGGTATTGTGAAGATGAAGAAAATTTACACTTAACTACCTATGGGTGAGAAAAGGTTGTCTCTCTCTTTCTTTTTAAGATTTTTATTTATTTGACAGAGAGGGGCGCCTGGGTGGCTCAAATGGTTAAGCGTCTGCCTTCGGCTCAGGTCATGATCCCAGGGTCCTAGGATCGAGCCCCACATCCGGCTCCTGGCTCAGCGGGGAGTCTGCTTCTCCCTCTCCCTCTGCCTCTCTCCCTGCTCATGCTCTCTCTCTCTATCTCTGTGTCTCAAATGGATAAATAAAATCTTTAAGAAAAAAAAGATTTTTATTTATTTGACAGAGAGAGAGCGAGCACAAGGAGGAGCAGCAGCAGAGGGAGAGGGAGAAGCAGAGGGAGAGGGAGAAGCTAGCTCCCTGCTGAACACAACCCAAGCCGAAGGCAGATGCTCAACTAACTGAGCCACCCAGGCGCCCCAGGTTCTCTTTAAATGACCTTTAAAGGTCTCATTCTCTGTGCTAAAATCTAAAGATTTTTTTTTTTAAGATGGCTATAAACTGCTGCAAAAATGACACAAGCTAAAATACAGAGGAGCGCTTCCTTCACAGAGAGACATATAAGATTCTATTGGAAGTAACTGAAACAAACAAAAAAGTCTTATACCAAGACACAGAGAGCAGAACGCTGGGCTGGGAATCAAGAATTGTTACTGTAGACTCAGCCCCACCACTGGTTCTTCATATAAAACCTGGACTAGTCACACCACTCACTGAATCTCAATTTCCTTATTTGAAATCTAGGAGTTGATCTCAAAAATCCCTTTCAGGTCAAAGACAACTCTGAATCCCACAGTTTCCCTGGCTTCCTGATATACTTGTTCCAGGCTACCTAATTCCTTGCTGGTCCATCATCAGCCTCATTCGATGGATTCTACTCCTCTCTCCCTCTGTCCTTACACAGCCCACTCTTAGCTGCCAGAGTTCCATGCCTCTTCTGTTGCCCTACATGTTCTAAGCAATGCCCTCCAGGTCTGTTTTCAACTACCACCAGTAGAGAGTTCTTGGAGGGTTTTAGTCTCCCTGTAACGCCAGGACCAATGCATGGAATACCTATATGCTAAATAGGTAAGTCCATGAATCGATGAGAAAATGGCAGCTTATCACTGCAAAAACAACGAATAAATCTTAACCAAAAGAAAAAAACATGCAGACAAAATGCTAAAACAGTAAAAGGAAAGCTAATATCAGAAAACACAAGGAAAAGGGATATCCACCACAACTTTAATTCTCAAGCAAATTTAAATTACTCCAAAATAAATAATAAGGAAGGACAAGAAAGGTACATAGTGAGGGAAGGTAAATAAGGATAAAGAAATAATTAGGAACAACAGAAAACAAAAATTAAGTTTGTAATTATTACAGAAAATCAATAGAGACCAGAATGACAGAAATACTACAAAACAATGAAACAAATCAGGAGAATGACTACTTAATAAACATTTATCTATTTATCACAGTGAAGACTAATGCACTGAGACCCACACTCTATTTTAGACATAGGCAATCTGCTCCAAAGAAATAATAAAGAATGAAGCATTTATAAATTAAACCCATTTATTACAGCTTTTTTTTTTTTTAAGGGAGGGAGGTACTGGTAAATTTAAGACCACTACAGAAAAAAAGAATATGGAAAATAAACCCAATTCTAAAAGCACGGTAAGCCTCATTTTTTTAAACTACCATTATTAAAATATATATCAAAATCCTGGCAAGCTGACTGTGGTGATGGTTACAGAACTCTACAAATATACTAAAAGTCACTGAATTGTAAATAATAATAAAATAAATAAAAATAATTAAAATCCAGATACAGGACAGGGGCGCCTGGGTGGCTCAGTCGTTAAGTGTCTGCCTTCGGCTCAGGTCATGATCCCAGGGTCCTGGGATCGAGCCCCGCATCGGGCTCCCTGCTCAGCAGGAAGCCTGCTTCTCCCTCCCCCACTCCCCCTGCTTGTGTTCCCTCTCTCTCTGTCAAATAAATAAATAAAATCTTTAAAAAAATAAAAAAATAAAATCCAGATACAGGACATTTAAACATTGCTAACAACCTTTTAAAATGATTACAAAATTCTCAGAGAATTCTAGCAATATGTAAAAGTTTGTAAAATTTCCAAATATCTTTGATGAAGTAGTCCACTTGGGAGATTTTAACACCAAAAAATAAGTGTCCCATAGGTCAACCCTTCCACTTGTATACTCTCATCCCTTCTCCCGTACTCAAGACATAGCTGACCTTTCCCGTCTCTCGTGATGACTTCTGCCCTCTCTATGGAATCCTCCCCATCGGCATATGAACACATTATATCTCCCATCTTCAAAGCAACAACAAAGCTCTCTTAGCTCCACATAAGCCTCTGGCTACGCTTCCATTTCTGTGTGCCCCCCTCATAGAACAAACCCTCACTACAGCTATCTAACTCCCTGTCTCCAAATCCTCCTCCACCGTTCTCCCTTGACATCCTTCTCATCACGTGTTCCCCCCTGGAATCACTGCTGCCTTTTCTTTCCCTCACACTCCACATCCAATCCAAAACTATCAGTTCTACTGCTAAAGTCTGACTAAAGTGCAACTGATTCTCATCACTTCCACAACTCTCACTGTGGTCTCAGCCACCAACATCCCTTACTTGGATTCTTGTAAGAGCCTCCAACTTGGTCTCTCTACCTCTGCCCTTATCCTAGAACACAGTCTCAAAAGAGCAGCCAGAATGATCCTTTTAAAAGTAAATCTGATCGGGGCACCTGGCTGGCTCAGTAACAAGAACAATTTGATCTTGGGGTCGTGAGTTCGAGACCCAACGTTGGGTGCAGAGATTACTTAAATAAATACTTATAAATAAATAAAGTAAACCTGATCAATGCAGATCAATGCAGCACAGAAAGGTTAAGTTACACAGCTAAACTGTGGCAAAACTGGGATTCACATCCAGGCTCAGTATGGTTCTCTCTGAACCATGAAGAACTTGAGACAACAAATTGGTCCAAAGAACTAATGGTTCCCAAGCTTTCTGATGCACAAATCTTAAACAAGTTATTCAGATCACAAAGTGTTCTGAAATAAAATAGTTAAGAATATTGAGGAAAGGTTAAGAAAATTTATATAAATGGAAGCTGAAAAGAAAATGTTGCTCACTTAAGGGAAAAAGAAAGGAAAAAAAAAGTTTTCTGGGGTGCTTGGGTGGCTCAGTCATTGACCATCTGCCTTGGGCTCAGGTCATGATCCCAGGGTCCTGGGATCGAGCCCCGCATCGGGCTCCCTTCTTCGCAGGAAGCCTGCTTCTCCCTCTCCCACTCCCCCCGCTGCTTGTGTTCCCTCTCTCACTGTGTCTCTGTCAAATAAATAAATAAAATCTTTAAAAAAAAAAAAAGGAAATTACATCACAACTCTCCGTGCAAGCAAGCTCTCCAGTGGCCTCTTATCTAATCAGAATAGCAGCCAGAGTCCTGACATGGCTTATGGGGCCCCAGAAAAGCTACTTCTGCTCCTTCCTTCCTCACTCTGCTCCCGCCACACTGGCAGGTGTGCATCACCCGAGGGGCTTTTGCCTGGAATGCTCTTCCTGGGGAGAGCTGCGCAGCTACCTCTTTCATCTCCTTCACGCTTCACCTCCAGCTTCACCTCCACATCATCTTATTGGGGAGGCCTTTCACAATCATTCAGTGGAAATCATATGTCCCACCACCACTACCACCAACTCTATGTTCCTTCTTAGGTTGTTCTACCCTGCCTTTACCACAGTCCACCCCCCCACATTGTTTACTTGTTCAGTAGTATAGAAGCCCCAAGAAGTCAGCTGCTTTCCCCTCCCCCACCCCCGCTATGATAATCCCAGCACCTAGAACATTACCTGGCACATATTAGGCACTCAATAAATATTTGCTGAATGAGTAAACAATGAAAGAGAAAAAATGTATTACTAACAAACTTATATGAATGCTTCTTTAAGGGGAAAAACAATAAAATACCAAATGCCAAACTGAGTTAAATGGTTAAACCCAGTATTTGAACATATAGGCAAATGCACAAGACAATCAACATGTGACACAGTCCATATAGGATAGTAATAGAAATACATACAAAATTAGGACCCCCAGAATATTTACAAATTGGCTATTTTATTTAAAAAACATACTGACAGGGGCACCTGGCTGGCTCAGTCGGTGGAGAATGCGACTCTTGATCTTTGAATTCAAGTCCCACATTGGGTGTGGAGATTACTTCAAAAAAAAAATGTTAAAAACATACTGATATACAAAAATCAGAAGATTTTATTATAACGAAAGTAGAATTTCTATTCATTAGATTATTTTTTGTTCTGGAAAGACACTCAGGACTGTAATTTATAAAATAAGCAAACAAAAAAGCTAGTTGTACTAACTCGACCTTGAAAAGCTTTAATTCAACGTACAGAGTAAAATCCTGATCTGAACATACGAACACCACATAAACAAAATGAGCTCCTTACAGAGAGAGCTGCATCTGTGGAAAGTCACCTGAAGTGTACTTATGCATGAAATCTCCGGCCCATTTAGAAAATGAAGGAAGATACTCCTCTACTTCTTGTTTTATCTCCTCTTGATTCAGACTTAAGCGATACCTGCAAAATAAGAGATTAAACAAGAAAGCATAAATATGAAAAAACTTAGGACAAAAACATCCAAATAAACAAGTTATCCATCAACTAATTAACAGATGTATAATGTGATGTATACATGGGGCACCTGGCTGCCTCAGTTGGTAAAACATAGAGCGTGTGACTCTTGATCTCGAGGTCATGAGTTCAAGCCCCACATTGGGGATAGAGTGTACTTCAAAAAAATAAAATCTTTTTAAATGTGGTGTATACATAGAATGGAATATTATTCAGCCTTAAAACAGAAGAGAGCAGAGGCCTATCAGTCCACCAAAAGAACTGATTCAGCAGAGAAGACAAAATTAGCAACCCTAGCTCTGCCAAGATTGCTGCCCCTGAGCACAGTAGCAACCTCAAGCTGAAAGAGAAACTGACATTCCTCAGGGGAGCAACTGCTAATATAAGAAAGCCCCAAATGATCACACATTCAGATTACCAGAAGCAAAGGTTATCCTTGCAAAAGGCTGCTTGAAATCTGGCAAAGTCCTTGGCTAGCAGCAATACGCCACACCAAGCACTTAAGCCCCTGACACAGCCATCGGATGTCACCATATGCCAGGCTCCAGCCACCAGGCTGTGTGAGGAGAAGAGGCCTGAAGGCAAGGTGAGCAAGACCAGCTCTGCCCATTGCAGTGTATGTCCCTGAACCCACGGGGCACACCAGGATGTCCAGGGCCCACTCAGCCTGTTCTATGGCTAGTGTCTTCATGGTATAAAGCCCATGATATATACCATGATGTATACTACTTAATCTTACAAAAAGAATCTACACACATCTAACAGGTGAATCCAAGTAAAGAGTATATGGATACTGTCTGCAGTAATCTTGCAACATTTCTCTAAATTTGAAATTATTTCCAAATAAAAAGATTTTTTTAAATGTTTTAACGCATATATATTCTCTGGCCCAACAATTCTACTTCTAAGTATTTAACCCGAATATATGCCTCACAGGTATGAAATAAAGGATATATAAAGGTATTTCCTTTTTTTTTTTTAAGATTTATTTATTTATTGGAGATACAGAGAGCAAGAGAAAGTGAACAGAGACAGAAGCAGAGGGAGAGGGAGAGAAAATCTCAAGCAAACTCCACACTGAGCACGGAGCCCAAGCCAGGGCTCAATTCCATGATCCCAAGATCATGACTTGAGCTGAAATCAAGAGTTGGACGCTGAACCAACTGGACCACCCAGGGGCCCCTAAAGGTATTTCTTATACAATTGCTAATAAAAGCAAAGACTGAAATGCCAAAGGGATACTTAAATTATAATACATTCATACAATGAAATATTATGCCATTATTAATTAAAAATGACAGTTCAGGGGCGCCTGGGTGGCTCAACCAGTTGAGCGTCAGACTCTTGATTTCATCTCAGGTCATGATCCTGGGATCATGATATCAAGCCCTGCAACAGGCTCAGCGCTGGGCTGGATGTGGAGCCTGCTTAAGTTTTTCTCTCTCCCTCTCCTTCTGCCTCTACCACCCCCCACCCACTCTCAAAAAAAAAAAAAAAAGAGAGTCAGCTCAGTAAGCACTAATATGGAATGATCACCAAGCTTAACCTTTAAGTGCACAATAATGTGCATAGCATTCTACAATTTATGTATGTAAATATATGTACACATATCCATACACACACTGTCACACATAAACATTTGAAATCTCTGTGTAAGGACATGCAAGAAACTGTAACAGTGGTTGCCTTGGGGCACCTGGGTGGCTTAGTTGGTTAAGCGTCTGCCTTCAGCTCAGGTGGTGATCCCAAGGTCCTGGGATTGGATCCCTCATCAGGCTCCCTGGGATCGAGTCCCACATTAGGTTCCTTGCTCAGTCGGGAGCCTGCTTCTCTCCTCTGCCTGCCGCTCCCCCCACTTGTGCTCTCTGTCAAATAAATAAAATCTTAAAACAAAACAAAACAAAACAAAACAGTAGTTGCCTTTGGGAAGAGGAACTAAGTGACGAGGAGGATACAGGGAGAAAGGACTTACTTTGTACCATATACCTTATTGTGATCTTATAATATGGTATACACACATTTATAACCTTTATAGGAATAATAATTTATTTTAAAAAATACCTACACAATTGGGTAATTTTTTCCTAAATAACTTTCTCCAACCATCTTGGAGCCATTCTTCATCATCATGATGTCGTTAGGTAAGTTCTTCCCAGTGTTTTATTTTTTAGAGCAGATTCTTTAAAATTTCCAAGCCAGTCCATACTGGTTATTTAATGTCTTCTGCATTTAAATTCTCCTTTTTAATTTTATTTTTATTTTTTTTTAAAGATTTTATTTATTTATGTGAGAGAGAGAATGAGAGAGAGAGAGAGCATGAGAGGGGGGAGGGTCAGAGGGAGAAGCAGACTCCCCGCTGAGCAGGGAGCCCGATGTGGG